GTATTATTTTATTGCTGTTTAATGTATTTGTATTAATAGTGCACTTTTATTTAAATTATAAATTCAGGGCTAAACTACAAATTTTACTTTTTCTATACAAGTTATCATCAAAATAACAATTAATTATTATTCCAGAACTTGATTTGATTTACTTATTTACGAGAATATTTTGAAAAAATAAATAGAGATACATACTGAGTTTATGTTGAATAATAAAAATATATTTTTAAAATTTTAGTCGAATTCTGTCAAATTCAAGGCTAATTAAAAGTCATGTCATTTTGTATAAAAGGACTACAATTCTTGAAGTTTTCACATCAATTTTAATATAACTTAAATTCTTTGTTGCAATAAATATCGCTAATAACCAAAAATGAAAGTCTTGGTAAGCTTTGACTTATAATTTTGAACACTTTAATAATAATTTATTTTCAGGCAATTCTCATGTTGTTTGCTATGGTGGCCCTGGCCTACAGTGTGCCCTGGGCTGGCTACGGTGGCTACGGTCGCTTTGGATCGGCTTATGGTTACAAGATTGCACATCCACTCTACTCGGTCTCACATTATGGCTACGCTCCGGGTAATTCTCACTACAATTGATCCACTTTTAAATTTCAATTGTAGCATTAAAATTTTAAAACTTTAATGCATAATAAGTTTTAATAATTAAGTTATTATAGTGCTTTAAATTATAACAATTAATTTTATTTTTTTGTATTTTATTTTAGTGCATGGTTACTTGGGAGGTCATGGAGGTATGTTTAACTTATAATATATCATATTAATGATAATAACAGTCAATTTAACTTAAAATATACTATTTTATTAAAATATCTTACATAGGTTATGGTGGTTATGGTGGTCATGGAATAGGTTATGGTGGTCATGGATATGGTTATGGCGGTTACGGAAAGGGATGGTGGTAAGGGAATCTGGTTGGACACAAATATTTGACTGTATTTGAATACAAAACATAATAAATATCTAAATTGCTTTTGTAAACTCTAAATTATATTTCATTTATTGTAAAACTGCTTTAATTGTGAAATATTCAAAAAAAATTTCAATTCTATTGTACAGAAAATAAAGCATTTTAAAAGTATTTAATAATTTAATTATTTCTATATTATTAGAATTTGACAAATTTAAATATCTATAACAATAACTTAATTAATTAACAAATTAAAGCACATTAACTAATTATAATTAGCCAATAATAATGTTAAATATAAATATTATTTATTATACGTCAAACCTTTCTGATTTTAATTTAAAATTAATTAAAAAGTTAATATAATTACTGTATAGTCTAAACATATTTGTAAAATAATTGAAAGTATAAAATGATAAAAATGAATGCTTATAAAGTAAGTGTCATTTGTTTGATTTGTATTGTGGGCATCAGTTTGAGTGACCAATACATGGATTACGAGTACGAAAGAAGCCCTTATCATGACGAACACCCAGGTCATGGATATTATCCACTCTATAGATATGGGCATCATCCACACTCTGGTTATGGACATTATCCACACCATGGGTATGATCATCATCCACACCGTAGTTATGGACATCATCGACATCCTGGTCGCGGACATAACGTGCAAAACTATAAAGGCTTGTGGATGGATGAAATATGGGGAGGCGCTATATTTACTGACAAATCAGGCAATGATAAAGATTATACCGGGTGAAGATTGTAAGTTGTTGAGACATATTGATGTTATTTAATTTCTTATAATCTTGAACGTTTTATTAAAGCAAATTATTTTTTGTTTTAATTTTCATTACTTTAATTGTATTTAATAAGTTATAATAAATAGCTTAAACTGTACTCTTATATGAAATTGTATTTATTAATATTCACAATTTTCAAAATAACAAATTATAACAAACTTCATTAAGCGTTGACTCCAATTAAATAAGTGTTTTACAATTTGTTGGATAAAATTGAACTCTTGTTTAACTAAATTGATACCAAATATATTAAGAAAATAATTTGTTTTATCAAAGGATTGATGTTTACGTAAATGAATGAGACTTTTCTTAAAAGTTTTCACAAACTTTAAGAGAGATTTCTCACTCAATGTCTTCATATTGACAATAATGTTATGCTTGATATGAACAGCGGTTACAATAGGAAGTGAATGAATAATTTGTTGCATAGTGTTAAAACCAAAGTCTCGTTTGAGTTCAGTACCGAAGTTATTTGGATTGGAAATGAAAAATCTGAAATCTTTGTTATTTTTAGCCACTTTTAAAACGCGATTTCTTAATTCAATCATCTTTTGGGTATTATTCATCAAATGAATTTCTGGATAAATATTAATTATAGGGATCTGTAAACAGTAAACATTAATAATATTTAACATGTGTTTTAGAAAATATTATTAAACAAACCGTTTTGTCAATTAAGTCCATATGAGTCCGTTCGCCTACTAATCCATAATAATGATGACTAACAAAGTCTGTAATTTGACCGAAAGAATAGACAACAAAATTGGTCTCAAATTGATTCCACAAATGTTTCGGTCGAATGAGAATAATAACCGGAATCGACATATCCTTCAGACCACTAATCAAATGAATGTCGAAAACATTGGGCACTCTATTGGCATAAATGTGTCGGAATTGAGCAAAACTTCTCAATTTATTGGATGCCTTAAAAAACTTTCTTTGAGTGCATGAAGAGTGCTGTTTGCTTGAAAATATTCCCAACACTAGCACTTCGGTTAAGCTATTTATTTGATCCGACAATTCATTGAAACTATTTAATTGTCGAGAATGAGTGCCTACTTTAGTCTCAATGCATTTGTTTATGCCATTTGTTTCCATTAAATGTTCGCATTCTCCGTATATTTCACCATATATTTAGATAAATAAAAATACTAATTAATATATCAATCATATAATCATTAGTAGAATTTGTATTTACGTATAAATGAACAAAATGAATTATAATAACATTAATATTATCAATATAATAGAGATTGTTAATAACACAACTTGTAGAAATAAAATATTGACAGCAAATAAATATCAATTAAGGTCTAATTGAAACAATAACTTATCTCACAATTAAGTATAACAAAGGCACGCAATTGTAGAATATTTATTTGGGAAGTTCTGGTAATTTATTTGGGAAATATCTTATATATCTTATTTATCTTATATAAGTTAAATATGAAATGTATTAATATTTAAAGTAAACTTTAACCTAATATATGAGAATTACTGTTTACGTAGCTAAAAATGCAAATAAAACTACATATAAAACAATTAATTTTATAATTATTAATTATAAACTAACCTTTAAAAACTTTTATACTTGGTGTATTAAATTTAATGCAAATATTTTTCCCATAAACTTCTGAACAATTAATCTAAAATATAATTTAGAAAATAGAATTTTTAATAATAATAACTATATATAATACTAAATAAAAATAGTAAGAATATATTAATTAAAGAATATTCTTGAAACCTTTGCAAAACGAGTGCACAGAATATTGTGTTGAATGTTGTCATTGTAATCAATAAAAGTTTGAGTTGATTTTTCAAACTTTTCTATTATTTGGTCACTTTGATTAACATAGGAATCGTAAAATAGCACAAATATATTGTCATAAGTTTTAAGCGATGAATTAAAGTTATTCGGTGTCAAATCAATAATATTTGAATTTTTACATTCCGTGTAATATACTACCACACAATATAAAATTAAATAAATGCTTATAATATTCATTTTTATTGAAATCTTTAACATTAAACGTTTTTATTATACATAAAACGAAAGTTTTATATTCTATTTAAGACACAATATCAAAGTATAAAACATATACAGTATAAGTTAAATTAAATCAATATCTAATATAATTGTATAAATTAATTTAAATAATAATGAATACTTTGTAACTTGAGTAATATTTGATAGTTAGCATATCAAAATGAATTTTAAAAATATTTGAATACTAATTTCATTTTATAAATATTCCACTGTAAAACAAAACAATTAGATAATATATTATTTAATTTATTTCTCATATATACTAAATAATTCAATAAACAGATAATTCAATAATATTCACAACAAACATTATATGAGAGAATATATAGTTTTATTCACAACAGGAGTCCTATTACTGACGTATTTTAACGATTGATAAATTAAATACCAGTCCTTATTAGATCCTATTCATTTCCAAATTAATTACTTATTTCATTAATTCATTGCTATTTTCATATAAAACATGAAAAATGAGATTAAAGTGTTTTGTTCATTAGTGTTGTCATGAATTTGAGTACGAGATTTATGGTACATTATATTAAAATAATTTAAATGTAGTAGTTGCAAATAAAATCCTTATAGTGATTGTAATACCGGTAATAAAATGGCATAATATTATAATTGTGGTGCATAGGCACTTATGCGTCGGTATATAATTTAGTTAAATTAAATAGCTTTTTGTATATAAAGTAAAGTATAAATATTAAAAGTATACAAAAATTAATTTCAGTCAATACTGTAATTTCATATAAATATTTGTTTTGTCGATTAAATAATGCTTAACTTTGTTGAGTGATAGCACCGGGTATTTTGCCCAAGGTGCCCGTTAAATTAATGCCGGTCAGCGCCTGGATGGTAGGCGGGAGTCGAGAGATCAATGAAGTGATCGGATCCATGGTTTGGTGCGAATCGTTGCCAATCAGTACTATTTGATCGGTTTTGGCCAACGGGGCCGACACTTCAGCAGCTATTTTAGGCAACGCCTCGAGAGTGAGGGACAGTATTGCCGCGTCTTCGTACTGCTTATACGCCGCGGCTTTCATACGCATCCGTTCCGCCTCTGCCTTCCCGACCGACTCTATACTATACGCCTAAACACCAAACGTCACATGAATTAAATTTCATACACACGTAGCTCATAGTCGACGAGACATACCTGTGCGGCACCAATGAGTTTAATGCGTTGAGCGCCCGCCTGAGCGGTGGCCACCGTCTTATACCGGTCGCCGGTGGCTATGGTCTCGAGTCGGTAGGCCTCGGCCTCGGCCGGGAGTTTCACTTTACCCATGAGTTCCTTCTCCTTTCGGATGATCTCCTTCTCCTGGATATCGATTTGTTTTCTCCGTTCGACGACTTCTATCTCCATCTCCTCGTTTCGTATCGATTGCTGTATCTTTGCGCTCTGCAACTCGTAGGCTAACTGTGCCTCAGCTTTCTTCGAGTTGACCTAAATATTCACATCAATTATATTCAACACATATATTATGCCTTTAATAACAAGAAATTAAATGTCATTTATTTCTCTTAATGTAATCAAGTCTATGTCTAAATATAATTTTTATAATAACTTATTCGTTAGGAAATATTGATAAAAGAAAGTGTAATATTAATTTAAGTGTCGCGTGAATACATATGTGTATTATGTATGTCATATGGTGTCTCCCCTTCACTTTCGCAGTTCATTATAATATAATGTCAAACAAATATAGAAGTTTCGTAGCGAAAGTGCAATCCTTGCTAATTATGTTGTGTACAACTAAATGGTAAGTTATGCTAAATATATCAATATTAGCTACGAGTGTAATCAATATTTATTTATATCTCAGAGAAAATAATTTTTATGTATGTCATATGGTGTCTCCCCTTCACTTTCGCAGTTCATTATAATATAATGTCAAACAAATACAGAAGTTTCGTAGCGAAAGTGCAATCCTTGCTAATTATGTTGTGTACAACTAAATGGTAAGTTATGCTAAATATATCAATATTAGCTACAAGTGTAATCAATATTTATTTATATCTGAGAGAAAATAATTTCAAAAATAATAAGTGAGCCGAAAGGGCAAACCTCTCCGTCATAAATGGCCTTTTCTAAGGAGAATATTCTGTGCGCGTCCTCTATCTTAGTGGAGGCGCCGTACTTGGCGTCCATCGACTCCTTATTACACTGCGCCTCACGGATACCGCAGTCCCTCTCAGCGCCCGCGACCCCCATCTGGGCGTCTCTCTTCACTTCTGCGGTCCGTGTTTTGCCCAAAGATGACAAATACTCGACCGAATCGTACACGTCTTGGATCGTGAAACTCACGATTTCGATACCCATTCGGCCCACGTCTGGGTTGGCCACCTCTCGCACCAGTGCCGCGAATTGGTCCCGATCTCGGTATATGGCCTCCACAGTCAACGTGCCTAATAACCAGGGTCATGAGCAGATTATTAAATATTTTAAAAATTAATAATAAACTTAATTTAAGTCATACCGAGAATAGATCTGAGATGACCCTCGAGTGTCTCATTGAGGACGTGATGTATTTGTCTGATACTCATCCCGAGGAACTGTTCGGCAGCGATGGGCAGGAATTCTGGTTCGTGCATAATCTTGCACTGGGCTATACCTGTTACACTGAGGGGCACTCCCTGTGCCGTCTCCACACTTTCGCACTTAGGCTTCAGAGTCATGATCTGAAGTGACAATCGTTGGGCATCAGTGACGAGCCACCACTTCCAACACCAGCTCCCGATCACAAACTTTCTGTCCTCTGAGCCACACCAACCGCCAGATACTATCAGTGCTTCGTTTGGACCAACAGTTTCAATGTTTCCCATTTCCAGTGACTAGTTATGAGACTTGTCTATGAAATCTAATAATTGTGTCGATAATACTAGACTAGTGGTCACAAAATCATGACACACACATTTTATAAAATGAGCCAAACATATAAGAATAAATTTAAATTTCACTCTTAGTTGCAATGCTAATAAAAAAAGTTGGTGTAAAATAGTGAATGAAACAGAGAAAAGTATATATAAATAGCATTACAAGTTTTGGTGCAAAATGGCATTTTGTATGCATTGGACAGTTGGGTGTATTTGAGAGCGCAGTTGCAGAATATTATTGTCAAGAATTGTAGTAAAAATAAAACCGAAGGACATATATATTCTATAGCAATACTTATATAACGAGGATTTTTCTAATATACTACAGTATACTGTACAGTAGTTTTGGAGACTAATGTAAACTAACTTTATTTCAATCAAATTATACACTGAAGAGTATACAATACATTATACTTTCGGTTAAGTTTAATAGTTTATTTACAACAAAACATATATATTGTACACAAAAAACAATTACATTCTTTAGTAATAGTATAAAATTTTTATAAAATAAAACCATTTATTATTGGGTTCTAATAGACTATCAAACATGAGTTGATTACTTACTTATGTTATTTGAGTTTTAAAGTTTTAAACTTTTAGAGTTTAAAGTAAAAACTTTTAAACTATACACTGAACCAATATTTTGTAAAAGCCTATCAACTAAATTAACAAATTTATTAAAATGAAATTTTTATGAAAGATTTTAGTTATTACTTATAAGTTATGTTAAACTAAAAGTAACGGTATAATGTAAAACTAGAAATATTTCCATTTAAATTATTTGTGCATTATAATCATATACATGTATACTATACAGTTATGTATTTTATGTATTTTTTTGTTAATTATCAAAATGAATAATGACATTTATAAATTAATCATTTGATTCTTGACAATTTTTTATATTGCATTAAGTTTTACTTACTTTAAATATTGATCAAAACTTATCTTGAGAACTTTTGCACAACTTATGGTTTATAAGAAATCATTTTATACTATTAATATAAACTTTATATTATAAAGTATTATAATTAGAAATTCATTTATTTAGTTACTTTTTAATGCATTAAATCTTATTTGAAAATTGAATGTATTTCAAAACAAACATTACAATTACAGTGGCATAATTAAAATTGTTGCAAATCATTTAGACTTTCTGCATATTTTCATTGTTGAGTTTATTATAAGGGACTTCAATGTGGAACCGATTGATAGCCAGGCCATAGAGTACGGTAGAGATCAATACAATGACTTCCATAACAAATGCGTCCAAATCGTGGACCGAAAGTATGGCAACGATTGCCAAAATGAGTCCATACATGGAAAGTATGGCTAAATTGGCTTTTCGGACACCAATGATGCCAAATATGGCAATCAATATCTGCAGAATGGATTGAATGTCCACATAAAGCATAAGCAACAAATACCGAGACACTTTATGTCGACCCTCAATAAACTCTCCCTGGTACGAGTCCTTTTCCGATATCAATAGGAATATTGCGTCCAATATGATGACAAAATTGGCACAAATTAAAAAGTACTTCAAAATCGTGATTAAAGACTGAATTGAGAAGAAATTGTTTGCCATTTGTTTAATTGCCATCTTTGTTGTTGTCAATGATTTATGCCATTAAATGCTTATTCATTATTATCACTAAAATATGTTTAACTAGTAAGTCAATACATATTGCCATATCTTATGAATGTTGTCTAATATTGATATTAGTTTTCACTTTATTTCTTATCAGTGCTTACACAGTACTATACAATTAAATCGTATTAAATATAAAAATTATATTCATATTTTTAGTTTCATATTTTGAAATTATAAAAATGATTTTATAAAAACCACAAACTAATTATATTTATTTTTTGGGTGAATGTATTGAAAATTTTTTTAAAAATCTAATTTATTTTGAAGTCTTTAAATTTCAATGCATAATATGTTATGAATGAAACAATTTAAGCGATATTATTATTACTATTATTATTATTATTTAATCGTTATTGTATAATGTATCCTGAATTATGATTTTAAGTTAATGTAACACAAATGACATTCCCTGTGAACTAATCATTTAACAGTTTATACAGAATACATAAATAATAATTTACTAAAAATAGATTGTCAAACAAATCATCAGAATATCAGTCATTTCGTGTTTCAAATATATTTATAATTCAAAAATAGATTTGTTTCGTTTGTCATCCAATTTGTGTTAAGTTATAATTGCTAAATAACGTTATTTTCTATAATTTTAGTTTCCTTTTAATATTATATTCCAGCTGAATTAGCAGTATATTTCTCGAAATAACGTATACTATCATCATTAATACCGCATTTCAGTATTTTAAAGTAACTGTATCGTTTTGCATCTGAAATATTTTAATTATTTATTCTATATTTTTTGTTAAAGACTTTTGCATTAATCAATGTGTCATTTATATGCTTAAAGTGTCATATTTTTATAAGTCCGATAAATCTAATGATAGATTTGTATTAAAAATTGACATTTTTCTAATCATATGATTACTCTATATTAATACAATGTTCACAATTTACAATTGCATCAATATTCTTACTTATACAGTTATTTAGTTAAAGTTGCATAAAAGATTTTAAATTATTTGTATTGTGAGGGTTTATAACACATATGGTAATGGATAATATTTGAATTTACTCTTAACATCTAATTAAAATTACTTTATAAAAACAAATAAACTTTAAAACATAGATAACCACCCTAAACAAGAGTTCAGAGACATTACTTTTTAATGTTTGTCATTCCCTTACTGAATATTTTTATTTATTAAATTAAATGAGTTTATCATTTTCTAAAATAGAAACTAAAATCAAAAGCTACTGGTGTTTAACACATAGAAGATTGTCATTTCAGTGTCTAATCATTTAAATCTGGTTTAATTCAACAGAAGTTTTAGTTTTGATGATTGACTGCCAATTGGCCCAAAAGATTCAGATGAAGATTATGTGAAGTTTTTATTATTATTCAAATTCTTTGTGCGCTCTTTGTATTACAAAATCAATAATGAATTTTTGCCAAACATTCACAACAAAACACTTATATCTTTCACAAACCCTTTTGTCTTCGAGTCTAATCTGTTTATAATTAAATTCTGAATTATTTTTAAATTTTTTAATCTCATGTTTCCGACTCATATAAGTTGTGATTTATATTTAACATGCAAAATATTAAATGAAAGACTTTAGAAATTTAATTAACTACAAAAAAATTACATTAGTTATGCAGATTTTATCAAATATTATAATTATTCAAGATAAACACATAAATGGGTTTACAAATATGACTGATTCTGCATAATAAGCCACTTCCCAGACTTTTGTTAATTTATTTTTATTTAATTTATTATAAAAATAGTTTTGATTATAAAAATGCTGACAATATCAGAGTATATTTTCAAACACATTCTCAATGTCTGCATATTATTGAATGACAAATAAATTGTGCAAAAAAAGTGGTTTCGTCTAAATTAAGACACAATTGCTTAAATAACAACAATATTATTATTCACTAATATTATAATAACAGTGATATTTATTCAAACAATGATTGACACAAACAACTGATAAATTAGAAAAGCTACTAATTATTTGTTAATAAATAACATAAAAAATAATTATTTCTAGTATATTTAAAACTCATTATAATTTATACAATAAAAAATTGTATTCAATGAAGACTTTATCTGATTTGTCAAAATAGTTTTTAAAAATTTGATCAATATTTGTACTCATTTGAATAAATTTTGTATTTTATAAATTTGATAAATAAATAACAGTTAACTCATCATTCACACCATCCATCCATGAAAACAGTTTAAAGTTTTATATTTGAATTTTGACATAAAGTAAACAATTTTTCTTTTTATATCAATATTTATGTAAAGACTGTTAAAATGGTTTAATTTTCTCAAACCCTTAATGAGATTTACTCTAAAATAGTCTATTTAGCTATTTAGTTAAATTATATTTTAGTTTTAATAAAATCTAAATATCTTTGTTTTATAAATTACTTATCATTTGATAAGTTTGAAAATTATAATAATAAAAATAAAATTCAATGAAATGAACAAAGATAACTCCCGGTTCACATAACTAACCAGTTTTATAACCTCAAGGGGTTTAATAAATGTCAAATAATTTATTTATTGACAAAATTCTTTATATTGATCCCAAAAATAATAGTAATTAAATAATAAACCAGTTATTTAATGTAATATCTAAATTCATAGATTTTGCGTTAAGAACTTACTGTATATAATGTTTATTTATTATATTTTTAATACAAATATATTAGTAATAAACAAGAATTTATAGAAAGAGTCTAAAAACTGTTGGATAGAGACTTTGAGTGTATCTCTATCTATGGCCTACTTTGTAAGTGTTGTTTGAAAGACATTACAATAATTTATTAGACTATAAACTCCGGTACATAACCGCGAAATGCCTAAAAATACAGTATTTTAGTTACGAATCGATTCCACTTAACAAGAATTCATTAAATTTTTGTGTTGTTTTCGCATTCAATTTAAAAAATAAAATTTATGAACGCTTTTTACATACTTTTATGAAAAAATTTAAATTTCTAAATGCAATTTTCAAATTATCAAACCAATCTAAGTTGCTTGTTTATTGCTTTGGAAATGAAAATTAAAAATCCAAACTAAGAATATATTATCTTTCGAAGTATTTTCTCAATCAACAAATAAAACATTCAAAAATTCTTGAGATTATTAATGATTTGCAAATTAATTAGCAGCTTAATTGATTGCCTTGATTACATAATTAATTAGAAATTTGTATTTAAAGTTAAATAAGATAGAAAACAAATTGTTATAATAAATATTCATTTTAATAAACAAGTTTTTTAGAAAAATTTCAATAATATTAGATTAACAATAAATTGTTTTGAATGAACACAATATTTAGAGAAATATTTTCAAATAATGCAATAATAATAATTAACATTCATTATATTTTATGATAAATAATTAATGTTATCTAATAAATGAATTTTAATGTAACATAACTATTTGCCACTAATTACTTATAAATGTTTTCAATAA